TTGGGGATGGGACCCCAGTCTAAACATGATATTCATTTATGTTTCATATATACCTTATACACATAGCCTAAAGGTAATTTTATATAATATTTTTTATAATTTTGTGCACGATACAAAGTTTTGACTGCAACCCATCACGGGAGGTCAGGTGTGGAATTTTCCACTGCTCACAAAGTTTCAGATTTTGAGGCCAGCTATGGTTGCTCACACCTGTAATTCTAGCACTCTGGGAGGCCAAGGTGGGAGGATCACTTGAGCTCAGGAGTTCAAGGTTATAGTCCTACTAACTACTTGAGCGAGAGCTCGATTTCTTCACATGCAAAATGAAAATATTTAATAATAATACTTGCCCTACCAACCTTCCAGATCTACAGTGAGAGTCGAATGAGATAAAATATGTGAACATTCTTGAAAACTGTGAAGCTAAGGTACCATCCATTAAAGCAAAAGCTCTTTGTTGGATGTGAAATTTTCCTTTATTTTTTAAGACAGAGTCTCACTCTGTGGCCCTGCATGCGGTGCAATGATGTCGTTGTAGCTCACTGTAGCCTCATACTCCTGGGCTCAAGCAACCCTCCTGCCTCAACCTCCCAAGTAGGTGGGACTACAGGCACACCCCAGGACACCTGGCTACTGGCTACTTTTTGTATTTTTAGTACAGAGGGGGGTCTCATTCTTGCTCAGGCTGGTCTCGAACTCCTGAGCTCAAGCCAGCCTCTCGTCTGGGACTCCCAAAGTGCTAGGGTTACAGGCGTGAGCCATGGTGCCCGCCCCGTTGGATGTGAAATTTTAACCTTGAATGTTTCTTCCCATCCTTATCCCACATGTGAATCAATAAACCTCCTGCTTAGAGACATATAACATGCATTCGTTTAAAAAGCAGTTATTGAAAATCTATGTGCCACACAATAGGCTCAATGCTAGACATACAAAGATGAATAAGGCACGGCTCTTGGTCTGGGGGATATCAAATTCTGCAGTAGGAAAACAAATAATTACAATACAATGTTCAGCATGCTATAGTAAAGGTATATTTACAGAATTGTGGGAGCACAGCAAAGGGTTTTAAAAGTAGTCTCTTTCTTACAAGTAGGTTTTAAAAGTTCAGAATCCAAAGTCTGGCAAAGTCTTCTCTAGCTGCCCGAAGGTCAGCTATTTTTTCCCTCCCACTCATAGATAGCTCCCCTCGTGCTGATAGAGACAGATCACTGACAGGCAACTTTCTCTCTGTCTGACCTTAGAAATGACCTTGAAGTTAGTAAAGAGGTATCAGTCATACCCCGAGCAGATTTTAAAAACTAAACAGATCACTTTGATTTCAGCAAGATTCAGAGGAATCATTTACTTGCTCAAAATCTCGTGGGAACTCTGCTATATCTTTTTCTTGGCAAATGGTATTCCTTCGTCACACAAAAATTTACAGCCTGTGAGTTAAAATAACTGTTCTGTCTGGCGGGGAAGTAGCATTTTTAATAAATCAGAACTAAAGAAGTTAGGACTGAAACTATAAGGTGAAGTAAAGAAAATGCCTATTAAAATGGCAGACGATTACATTTTTAGTGATGGAATATATATGTGTATTTTACTTTCTTTCTCTTCCATTTGTATGAATAAATTAGAATCCTCCAGAAATAATGAAATCTAGGATCTCATTATACAAAAATAAGACTGATCTCTCCTGAAGTTGTTGAAACCCTTTAAAGCTTTCATTGAAGAAAGCCCAGAACTATCTCTATTTTCCTTGGTTTAAGTGTTCTTCAGGAACAGGAGAATTTTTCTGTTTATAGTGGTTTTCATTCTTGCTACGGGAGGGTGGTTAACTTTTTAGAAATAAATAGCTGAGGCGAACATCTTATTTTCTGTCACTGCAGTGATAAGTTTGCTTTTTTTAATTGCTGCCACTTGTTTTGGTTTTGCACAAATAAGTTGTGCTATCCTTTGTGTTTTGAGAGTATGTTTTTTGACTGCCTCTAACTGGATAGCATGGATGTTGAGGATTCAACCACACTTTCCTGCCTGATCCTCTTTTTCATTAAGAGTCCAAGTTTGGCCAGGCACAGTGAGCCATGCCTGTAATCCCGGCACTGTGGGAGGCCAAGG